CATGTCCCACACTAGCTAGCCCAAAGGACTCACTGTCAGCACAAGAGCTGCCTGAAATGCAGATTTTTGTGCTTTGCAGGAAATTTCAATGCTCTGAACTGTCCCGCAAAAACAAATTTCTATAAAAATTTGTTTCAGGAGTCTTGATTTGTGGTGTTTCTGCAAATATGGAACTTGACGCCTGGTAACTATAGCCAACTTGATACTTTTCAGCTTCACTGCTCCCACCACAAAACAGCTGAGGCTCTCACAGTTGCTATTCTATAGTGGGCAGCCATGCAACTGGCAAGACTCATGTCCGGGCTGCTAGGATCCATGCCTTACAGACCGCCACAAAACTGGAGATTAGGAGCCTCTGGCCAGCTCGGCTGCTTGACGCTTAAAGCAGCTGCTCTCCAGAGCACAGGAGTCAGACCTCCCAAGGAACCTGTTAAACCTAAGGGCATTTATACACATACATGTGTCTGCTCCAATGCGCCGGAAATGCGGTGCATCAGAGCAGACTCCGTTTATCGAGCCTGCTCTGCATGCAAGCTGACCCGCGCAGCGCTGCAGCGCACACATTTGTATAATGGCGGCAGTGGGCTTTTGAAATCTAATACTTATGATGTGTTTTAGTTTAAAAGTGTGCTGCTGCCATTTTCTCAGCGCTGATGCACATTTCACCATTTATACAAATGCACGCACTGCAGCGCCAGGGGCTTTTAAAAGCGCCCGGCGCTGTGGCACAACCATGTGTGCAAAGGCCCTAAGGTTCTGCACTCTAAGACAGCCTGCAGAGGGCCAGGGCTGTCTTGGGGCCATACACCCTGGAAAGAAAGTCCCAGTACTGCCAGGCTCCACGGGAGGGAGGCTGAAAGACCTGAACTCCTTCACCTGGAGCTCCCAACCTTCTGCTGTGGATTCAGAAGTGCAGAAACTGAGGATCAGACACCCAGGAGGGCTGGCTTTTGGAGTTATCCACTTTGTGGGCAGCTTGCTTTCCAGCCTTGCTTGGCCAGCCAGCTGGCCCACACATTGAAAAGCCTCCAGGTAACAGATCCTGGAAACTCTCAAGATACCTGATCCTGAAGCAGTCTGCATGGGGAGGCCCCAGAAGCACAGAAACAAGGACCTCCAAGGTTTCTCCATTTAGTGTAGTTAGCATGGGTGTCTGCTGCGGAGCCAGGGTCTGGGGTTCTTGCCCCCAAGACAGTCTCCCTGGCAGGCTCCGCTTCATAAGTGTTGTGAAAGCAGCTCGGCTCCCAAAAATTCACAATCTAAATGCACAACACAGAAAACAAACAGTGGGCAAAAGTTAGTTACATTGCCCCACTTACAAATCATTATTTCTTCTTTATATTGTGGTAGTACTAAGGAATCCCAGTCATAGATCTTGTTAATTTTCCAAGGTTAGACATACAGCAGATCTATGGCAGGGCCAGCACCTAGTTCTCCTGTCCACTGCCTTTAAAACAAATTACCTTTCCTCTGTAGAGTAAATCTAACACCATGACGCCTCATTTACTCCAACTCAGTGTTAATGTATGCTGCTTTTCAAGAAAAAGATGCCATAATTTTACCCCAAAGTTTTAGGGTATTTTTATTTATTTGTTTGTTTTAAAATATTATAAACTCGTGTTTCCTGAGTTCTGAATTAATATAAAATAATCCTTAAATTTACAGGATTTCTCTTATGGAGGACACTAATTTTACAGACTCCGTCTATTTGAAAATGAGGAGTTATCATCAGATACTTTGCAGCTTCAGATCTTTGCCTGTTTCCCCCAGATGTGCTGCTGATTTAAACTCAATCAATTTGTGCTGACAATACACTCTTTCAAAAGGCAGTCTTAAGTGCTAAAACATGACAGGGAGTGAATTTCTGGAAGATTATTGAGCACTGAGGTGAACCAGTATGGCAAGATGCCAAAACTGACTTTACGTAAATTAAAAATAATCTCCCAAAGGAGAAACACTCTGCTCATTCTCTGCCCAAAGTGACTTATTTGGATGAGACAGAAACTATTTCAAATAAAGGATCATGCCAACGTATTCCCTGATTATTTTTTATACTTAACCTTTTAACAAAGATCAAATTTATCAAACATCAAGTTTATCGTTAGTGTAAAAGAGGAGAATGAATCCTGCCAGTTTGGAATGGGATGGCTTTATATCTTTATCATCTTTTATTGTAGTTGACATGGCTATGGTACTACGCAAACTATACGTATTGGCTTCTTTTGGGGTTTATAAAGACTCCTCATAAAAATAGTAATAATTAAGAGTCCAGATATAAGCCCGACTGAAATTCTGGCCTTAAAAATTGAGTCACTCCACGAAATTAATGAAATTCCAAGAAACGCTCTGCGTTATGGCCCTTGCAGATGATAGATATAAAACACATGTAAACAAACGAGTCAGTTCTATTAATTTTCCTATCTTTTGTTTTAACATGCAGAATTTAAGTACCTGACTATCATCGGGGCTTGTATCAGGCATTTCTAGATCATTAACATCTGGCGAATTGGACAGTCAGCTGCCAGGATACAATCTATTCAGCACAATTTCTGGTATGAGAGGTTTAGTACTTTCCAAAAGCGCACTATAGCTCTCAGAACAGCAATGTGTATTGTGAGCATGTACACAATTAGCTGAATTTTCTTGGGTTGATTTTCTACTCTGTTACAGCAGCTTTAATGTTAGTATAACAAAGGCACGCTTAGGTCAAACACTATTTTGACTCCAATTGAGTTGCACCCATTTTCTGTTGACATACATGAGTGGCCACTATACAGCTGGAAAGAATAATTGGTACTTCCTCTACAACCCCACATTGGCTTTTTTTCATTTACTGAATGCATAGGAAGTTGACACCTAGAAACCCAGTAGAAAATAGCAGGACACGTAATGGAAGACCCTTCTTCTCTTGCCCGTAAGAGGGGTTACGGAACGCAGTCCTCATGCGGAAGAAAGGACAGCAACCTAAAGAGGAATTGGGTAACTTGTATACAAATATATTTGTAACTTAAATATTGCTATAATGGATTGCATACATCTTCCTTATCCCTTGCATGTCACTTTGGGAGGAAGGAAAGTTAAAAGCCTAATTTTTCAGAGGCGCTTAACCTCTGGAGGTCTCATGGATTAAACTCAGTATCACTTCACACCTGCTTCAAGCCATGGACAATAAGATCAAACAGGCAGGGAGAACCACACTGAAGACAAGACTACTGAAAGGACAGGAAACAGAAGGAGAGGAAATCACTCATGAGATCTGTGTCTAGGGGACTGACTGCAATGGCTCGGGCACAGCATTTTAAAGTTGCAACATAGCTGAAATCAAAATAAACCACAAAAATAAACCTCACTGGCAGAAAAATAAGGGGAGAGGAGAGGGTGATCATTAAGTTTCTTTTGCACTTACAACATCTTTGACAGTGGAAAGGAATTGATGGGCATGTTGGGCAGCTCTCATACCCTTGGAACTGAGCATGACGGGAGGGGGTAATGTGGTCCTACAAGGAGCTAATGGGTGTACTTATAATTACAGGCAATTCTTGAAGAAGAGCATAGACAGATTGTTTCAAATGTGTACTCTTGACATGCATTTTTCCTTATAAGGACAACTTTAAAATCTGTTCTACAGCTCCTACACTACACAGCAGATTATGTTAAGATTCTTAGTTTCTTGGCCTGGCTGGACAACCGCTCAGGAAAGATGCTAAAGTCAATAAAATACTAAATCTGATGATGTGAAACTTTGGTCATTCATGAGATATAAGGATACAGAGTCATATTATTCAGATAGTACTTTACAGGTCCCTTGTGTCACATGGCTGTACAACTTGGCCCTGGGCTGTATCTAGGTAAGCTACTCCTGATTTTAGACTCTCAGTATAAATAATGGTTCATGGGGTACAAGCAAATACCTCGCTGAGAATTGGTGTCAGCTACCTATTCCTTCTTTATAAAGCATTGAATTAGTCTCTGAAAGGAGAGAATGTATCTGTAGGGTTTTAGCCATCTCTCAAATAATTACCTAGCTTTTTTGGTCCTTATTTGCCTCCTATTACTTTTGATTATAGTCTTGTAGGACCTCTTAACCAATCCCTATTCCTTTCTGCTATCAACAGTCTTCAAATATTTGTAGAGAATTGTTTGAAGGGAATTTAGCTACATAAAACTGTTAACATTTGTTGTGTTCTTTCAAAATACTCGCCAGTCATTAGCTTTTAACATTAGTATTAAAGTGCTTAGACCCAAAGCAGTGATTGGTTTAACGTTTATGGGTATTAACAGTACATGCGACAAGGACTGATTTTTTAAGGGATGTAAAATAAGGTCAACAGGAATAACTGCCACATGTAATAGGTCATAAAGAGATGATTCCAATTTCTGACCGTGGAGACTTCTGACAGCTCTGAAGTTTTTATCAGCTGAATAAATTTCAACAGAGAATTTGTTTGGCTGCTTTAAACAATAGCTTTTCAATTTGCATAGAAAAAATGATGGTAAAACCTCATAATCAAATCAACCTTTTACCACAAGCTCAATTCTATTACATTTTAGTGAAGCTTCAAAGCTGCTTAAAGAAACCAATCTGTTCCATCTCCAACCCTAAATGTGTCACTTGAGAGTCGAACTTCCAATAGGACCAGTATCTGACATGTAACTAAATTTAGAATATAAAATGCTCCTCACCATACTGTGATACATATAATTTAAAATAACTGTAAACCCAAACTTTGCAAAAACAGAAAATTCAAGAACTAACAAAAAAGCACAGTTTGTAATTGAAAGAAAATAATATTTAAAAGAAAAAAACTTTTTTGTCCTTCCAAAAAGAGACTGAAATTACTAAGTTTTATTTCCCAAGAGAATTATGCCACTTTTATAAAGAAAATTACAGTCACCACAAATTGCTTTCAACAATTCCAAAGCTTCTTCATTTGACCACTTGAAAATCAAAGTTCTTGAAGATTATAAATATAACTTTTTATAACTCTGTTATTACGTACTGTGAATGGGGAAAGGGGGCCAATCTTGTGGCCGTAACGTCGAATGGCCTCTCTGATGTGGCCAGGCTGGATGGCATCGCTTTGAGCCTCTATACCACAGGCTGCAGAGCTCTGCAACAGAAAAAACACATAAATTGTTACTAAATCAAAAACACACAACAGACCTACAGTGCATCAAGTATGAAAATAAACCTTTATAAAATGGACTGATTTTTTTCCTGAGGATACATATCATTGCTGCCACACACTACTTTAAAGGGAAAAAATGCTATTAACAAATCAAAGGAGACTTTTACATGAACTCTGCCTACCAGACCCAAAGAACACCATATTTGTCCTCTTAAGCATTTCACCTAGTGCCACTGCACGTTGCAATAGAAAAGAGCAACAAATGCTCAAATTCAAATGAAAGGGTCATATAAGTCATGCTGCAATAACCACAGGCAGCTATTTTTAAACCATTTCAAGCTTTCATTATGATGTCATGGGGTGGAGTAGATATTCGACAAGTATTGCAAAAGCAAAACACACTGCTACTAAAACTCACAGTTGAGTGATATCAAATTTAAATTTGGAAATGAAATAACATTGAATTATACGGGCACAATAGTAAAGAAATGTTTCGACTGATTCAAACTGGAACTTTTTTGTATTTTATTTTATTTTGTATATTAACTAAGGACTCTATGCAGAAAAACACTGATTCAATAATTATGAAGTCCTAGTACTGGTTCAGGAAATCCCTGGCTAGAATCACTGACTCTCAGAAAAATTAGGCTGGAAGGGCCCTCAGGAAACCATCTAGTCCAGTGGTTTTCAATCTTTTTTCATTCATGGACCCCAAAAAAATTTTGAATGGAAGTGTGGACCCCTTTGGAAATTTCAAATGGTGGTGCAGACCCCTTTGCAAGTGTGGGTATTCACATACTTTTGATTGTTCAGTCATCTTTTGTGGAGCCCTTAGACATAGCTTGTGGACCCCTAGGGGCTGGCAGACCACAAGTTGAAAACCAGTGATCTAGTTCAACCCCATGATCAACACAGGCTGGAGTTTAATAGGAACTTTCTGACTATGAAAGTGGTCAGACAGTGGAACAGGCTGCCTAGAGAAGCTATGAAATCTCCATGCTTGGAAACTTTCAACTGCAGCTAGACAGACACTTGGCTGGGACGGTTTAGTCAGGGCTGACCCTGTCTTGAGCAGGGGGATTATTAGGACCCAGACGGCTGGGTGGCTTTGGCAGTAAGAGCACTGTCGACTCATAGAGCTTGCTAAACATGTCCATTTCTCCACGACTGACACCTAGCCAATCATCCCCCCAGTCTGTATTTCTGCATTTGACTGTTCTATCCCAACTGAAGGACTTGGAAGAAATTCTGTACAGAAAAGTTCAAAATCTGCTCATCAAGAGCAGCAGCTATTCTGTATCGTTTGGTAGTCAAACAGTAACATTTGCTTAAGGATTACTTGAATACCCAAAACCAGTGCTGCAAGGTTTACTCATAGAGATACATCTGGTGAATTCAGTCAGAATGACCAATATATAACGTAGGACAAATATTTCAAACTTCGATGTCTAAAATTAATTACCTACATAAAGTGTCTGATTTTCAGAATTGCTGAAAATTAACTGGTTCCACTTTGAGTCAATGTGTGCACACTATATATTACATAACGTATTGGTGGGCTCTTCCCTTGCTGACTGACATTCATAAAGGGAATGAAAAATCTAATTTTTTTTGCTGTACTCGGCTCTGATGTCGTATGAACAGCATCCTTCATTAAGAACCTGGTCTACTGCAACCCCTTGGCTATGCCTAATATATACCTGTTGAAACTGGACAAGGGTAAAGCTAGCAGAAGCATTCAGTAAAATTATGCCGATGTTTACAAACAGAACATTTTTGAGAAAAGGCAGGCAGGTAAGATTATGAGCTTAAGTGATACAAGTAACAAAAGTTAGTTATTTAACACCTTGTGCATAAGAACTACAGTGCAAATTGCTCAGGCGAACAGAAAACCATCATTACCCCAATATAAAAAAGGAAGGGGGGGAAGAAAAAGAGCAACTCCAGAAAATTATAAGAAAAAATGATTTTTAATGGTTCATCAAAGAGTTTGTTATTTTGGAGTATAATAAGACAGTTGCTGGTGGTCAATTTACTGGTGAGGGAAAGCTGAACCCCTTATGATTCTATTAGGAGCATATTAAATTTTTCCCTCAACAGAAATGTCAGTAAAAAAACTACTAGTTAATGCAAGTCACTGGTGAGTACAGAGCAGCAAGGGAAGAAAGACTATATGGATGGCAGAATCACTAGGTACTCACTTCATACTAGCAGAACTTGCTTTGGAGCAGACTGAGCTTTGGGAGCAGACTTTTTTCCCCAAGATTTCTTAAAACTTCTTAAAAGCCCAACCTAAATATACAAAAACTTTTCATTTCGTTATATCCATTCCAATTCTGTTGTTTTTTTTATATCAAAATATCAAAGTATATCCCTTTCACCTAAAGTACAAGGATGTGTGATAAAGCATGGAAATAGCAATGATCACATTTCCTTCAGAGTGTACAAATGATCTGGACTGAATGGGACTTCACACATCAAAATAAAGAATACTGCTGTAAATAAAGGCCCCTCCAGCAGTAAAGTATGAGACATATTTTGGAACTGAACTTCAATGATAATTTCAAAACCAAGAGAGACTAAGATCTTCAAAGATACTTTGAGGTCATTCCTACTACGGTCACATCCACAACTACCACAACTACCTTTTTTCTTTTTCTTTGCTTGGCTTTGGTAGAATCTTGTCCAATGCCTCCATTCCCCATGGCTCCAGACTGGGTTTTTCCAAGGTGTTGTGATCCTGCTGACGTTGGGGGAGTAGGTGTAGGGGGTGGTGTATTTTCAGGGGAGTCGAGACTGGTCTTCATACTTGTGGCCTGGCCTAAGAGATGTGGCTAAACAAAAAAAAGTCAAGTATAGCTGTTATAAAATGGAATTTTAAAAATCGCTCCCTACTTTCCCAGATTTATACTCTTAACAAAAAGTATAATAAAATATTTAGCTTGCACACTCTGGAAGTTATGATGATTGCTGATCCATGTAATTACATCAGTTATTATGTTTTTTATCATTGATATGCAGTTAAATTACAGTTACTTAATAAATATCAATATCAAAAGAAAAAAAATAAAAGCAAACACCAATAGTGAGAATTTCTATATAAACAGAAATAACTTCATTTGCATGTAAAGTTGCTAAAGTTTTTAACAGTTATAACCATATAGTTAGGGATTTGTGTCAAAAGTCATCAGAGACTTATAGCAATTACTTGCAATTCAACAAACCTCCAAAATGCATGACACATTAATATAAGCAGCAGGCTCCCCAAAATGTTTAATTCTATTCGAATATGAAAATACATGCATTAACATCATTAAAAAAAACCAAAGAGTTACCTCAGCAGAGTTGTGATACTGTATGAAAGTAGCAGATATTGCATGAGTGAATGGATCACCTGCTTTCGGAGCCATATCCTGTTTGACCAAGAGAGCCAAGTCCACCAACTATTAAAACAACAACAATTAAAAGGATAGGTTCAGTGACAGAATTAGCTTACTGGCAGAACAGCATCACAAACATACATGAAGTCAATACGTGCGTGTCGACACAGATTAAATCAAATACCTCTTAGCAGAGATCTGAATTTGTTCAGAGATACTCTAACCTAAAGAACCTTTTTCATCACATTTTATAAATTTACAGAGTAATTTATCTACCAAGAAGGTTTGGCTCTGATGTAACATTTGGTTTTCCAAGAAATCCTGCTTTTTTATCCAGTTTTACAGTTGGGTTGACTGAACACAAGTGCCTTGCCAAGGGTCACATAGCAAAGTGTGTGGTTTCAGTAGGACTTGGACAAAGATCCTTCTGGCTGTCAATCTTATGGTAACCATTACACATTATTGCCACTCATAATACCACAATGATGAGCACAGTACAGTGTGAAGCTCAGATACAGCAAATCGCATGCTGGTTAGATAGGAATTCAGTTGCAGACCATTATACTTATAAAAACGCTAACACGAAATCTTAGGGTCAGCTGAGATTGCTTGAAATGTGGCCAAGACTATCTACTTAACTTCATAATGAAATGGCATAGTCTGTATATTATGTTCCCTTACCTGTGCCACCGTCTCATAGGCTAAATATGCCAAAATCTCCATGGCAACTGCATTTGGTTTTATTTCCATGCTGCTACAGTCTAACCAATCACGAAACTTGGACGCTTTCTTGGCTGTTCATTGAAAACATCAGAGAGAACAGAACTGAAAGTTAACAAAAGTTATTCAGATAGTAATTTAAAGTTACACCCTCCTAGAATAACAATAAATGTTAAACAGGGAGTCTGAAGTTTTCATGAAAGACAGGGAAGAGCCAGTGGAGGTACTCAAAAATTAGCAGTGAGATCTGTGGGTAAGGACAGTGACTGTGCGCACACAATTTTGTGTAGTCTAAAGAGAAGTCTTGAGCACCATGAAGGGAAAGGTAAGTCAGATACAGGTTGCATACACACATTCAAATGATCTGGGAGAGTTGTCCCAGGTTTGCTCTCCTGGTAGAGAAACTTACCCAGAGCCGGATGTACAGACATTTGATACTGAGGCCCTGAAGAGTGGAAAGCTTAGAGACACTGTAACCGGAGGGGAGGTGGGGAAGAGCTGTGCTCTTGCTCTGCAAGCTCCCTTAATTTGCCTGCCAGCGTGAGCATTGCATGGCAGCCTTGAAAGGAACATTGCATGGCATCCTGGTTGAGAATCAGTGATGTAGTCACTGATAGTACTGATTACTCCTCTATGACTCTGGCTTCGTCTGTTCTTGGTTCTCCTTTTGGTTTTCACATCCCTCTTTCAGTGTCATCTTTGGTCCTTTCTCCTTTCCCCTTCACAAACCTCATATAGTTCTCTTTGTCTCTTGCTTTCTACACCTGAGAGATATCACACATGCATAGGATTCAATTCTTATTTCTATGTTGATAATTTGCAGATCTCTTCAACTGAGTTTGCCAACAAATCATTTTGGATAGTTTGTTATCATCAACGAAGTTCCACACACTTAAAATTGACTGCCTTCTTTTTCCTCCTCAAATCGCTTCCACTTTTCTTCACTTTTGTTGATAACACCACAATCACCATCTCAGTCTTAAAACTTCAGGCTCATCTTCAATTTCTCTTGTACCATTTCTTCGTTCAAGAAGTTGCAAGCCTGGTGGAGAGGATGATAGTGTGTGCATGCCTATGCATCTACGCACGTGTGCGTGTGCACACACATCCATGAGAAAGCAAGGTGGTTAGCCATGTTAAGTCTAAAAATAGGCAGAAGTTAGGGTACGGTAGCATCTTAGAGACTAACTGGTTTAGAGAGGGATGAGCTTTTGTATGCAGCAGCCTACTTCATTATATGCTATGAACAGACTAATAGAAAGAAAGGTTTTATCATATTTTATTACATACAGAACACACCTCTTTCCCCCCAAAATAATCCCCCTCTGCCCCAAACTGAAGTAGGGATTTTAAGTGGAGAAGCTATTTTCTTCATTGGAAAAGCTGCACTCTGGGAGACACTTTGCCTCCCATGCAGCTCCCATCATGGCAGCCACTTGCATTAGCAAACTGAAGGGACAGTCTTCCCAATCACAGCCATAACCATGGGCTGAGCACTGTAGCTTGTGCCCCAAGCAGCAAATGAGCTACTGGTAGCATCTTGGTGAGGCCTGTGATATTGAAATTTCTTTTTATTTACAGGCACTTGTATAAAAACTATTTATAGTAAAAACCTAACAGTCTTGCTACTGCCTTTGCAAGGGCTTGGGCCAACCTGGTGACACAGGAAATATAGTGTCCAAGAAGCGTGGCATCACAGGAGACAGTCTACCACACCAGGAATTTCCAGATGCTACATTTTGTGGACACGTATGTTTATAGAAAGTCCTACCTATGACGTGTCATATGAGCAGGAATGTGTTTATAAAAGGTCCTACTCCATGTCATACACTTGGCCATGACTAGCAAGTCTTTTTTTCTATGTTCTCCCTTCCAAAAACAAGGTGAAACGCTTGATTTGGGGGCATCCTGTACGTGAGAAACTACATTATATGGAAGGAAAGAGAGATGGATGGGAGGGAACACTGCATGGAGTGGTAAAAAGTGGGGCGATTAGATCTATTGAAATAAAGGCAGTTAACGTGTTCAGGACCATGAAACTAACAGGTAACAGGATAAGAATCTGTAGAACCTACGAGACCACTGTTAACCACTCCAGTCTGTGGCTGGTTTCTTGTTCTGCAATTTTGCATTCAAGTTGGTTTTTAACGTTTTGTTTAAGAACAGCTGATGAAACGTCCAGGGACATTAAAGTGCTTTTGTGCTTTTCTGGAATTCATGTTGCATTGGTGCCCATTCATTCTTTCAGGTAGGGATCACACTTGTTTGCCCCATGTAGACAGCAGAGGAGCTCTGCAAGTAGGTAACGACATATATGATAACACTGATGGTTCCAGCTCTGACCTCACAGTCTTTGTACTCAGGAGGAACCCTTCAGAGGTCAGCTCTGGAAACAAAATATTCCTAACTGTACAGGACACTGGACTAAACACCATGGACTAAACAGAGACAATGATTTTATGGCTCATTACGATTTCCTTGTCTCTGCTAACCTCCCTGTACTCCACAGTAAATAAGGAACCTCCTTCCTTCTGAATTTGGGTTATTTATTTCAACTGCCTTTTACCTAATTTATGGCTCTCTCTGAAAACGGCTCTGTGCTTCATAGGTTTACAGTCCTTTTCCCGTTTAAGTGACTTTTCCTTGATACAAATGAAGTTTAACAAAAAAAAACTGCATTATCTTGTGTTTAGCTTAAATTTTCTTTTCCAGATGTGAGGAAGAATATTTTGAGATCAAAAGCTCACCTAGCAGCAGTCCCAATTATGTAGTTGGTCCAACAGAAGACATTGCCAAACAAATCTTGCTTCTCTTGTATTTTATGGACCAGAGTTGTCCAGCTGGTGGCCCATGGGCCACATGTGGTCAGAGAAGAGTTAATTTTCAACCCCCCAGCTGCTGTTCCCCTGCTGCTCTGCCAGCTGCTGGACTCCCCCCCTCCCTCCTCTAGCTTCCATTTCCTGCCCCTTCCCTGGGGGAAGAGAGACAGGGTGGAGTGGGGTGGGATGGGGCAGCTCACAGCCAGGGAGCCGAGGGTAAAGCTGGGGCATCCATGCAGTTTGCAGCCTTGGGGAGGCCCAGGCTCATGCCAGTGTGGCCCGTTCTGCCCCCAGCAACTTAGAAGTTGGACAGCCCTGCTCCGACACGTCATAGCTACAACAAAATTATAACCCCTTTAAAATAGCGTGCAAATTTATGGTGCTGTTTAACTATGTAATTATAAAACACTACTGTAAATATATGGCTCTCTGCGAGTTTCACGGACTTATACTACAGTAATAGATTGCATAGACATTAGATTTCATAGACATCAGGGCTGGAAGGGACCTCGGGACAGCGTCGATCCCAGCCCCCTGCCCAAGGGGTTGATTATTTTCAGCACTCGAGGGCCAGCTTCTATTCCATCCCATCAGCACTGAAGTAGACTTCGACATCTATCTGTGCTTCTAATCCACCCTGGTCAAGCCCTGAAAATCCATTCATCTTCTGTCTCTAATGCATCTATTTCTGTAACATACTGTCAGCTTCCCCTTATGATTGAGCTGTAAAAAGCAGCTGCTTTTGGACTGCTTTTCATGAACTGAAGCAGGGTAGAAAAGAACTGCACTTGGATACCTAAGTCTAGTTATGTGCCTAATACACGGAACAGACTTTTCCTTAACTTTCAATAAAAAACTATACAAACTTTGACCTATTAGCATCTTATCTGGCATAAAACAAAGCAGATAGTAAGTGTGGGCACGATTCTCTTTTTACACTGGTTTTACACCAGTGAAATCCCACTGACACCAGTTACTCTTCACTGGCATTAAATGCAAGTGAGAGGAAAATGAGGCCATTGTTATTCAAAATGTAGCAAGATTATCCACCAGATAATTTATTTTACAAATCAGCAGCATTCAAATTTATCTTGTACACTGCAGATTTATATTTGCGCTGAGGTCTGATTATAATTTTTAGGTTTAAAAATGCCATTATCACGAACCTGTCATTTGCTGAAATCACCTCAGTCTGAAGTATCATTTACCTAATGGCTCACAGATGTGTAATGCCAAATTATAATGAAGCTTGCAAAATGTACTGAATCAGGAAAAAAATAAAACGCTTACAAAACATGGTTTCCTACGTTTGCTGACATTTACCCAGAGCACTATTCTGGATGTGTCATTTATCTGAACGTTATGAACTTTATGATCCATAAATGACTCACTTATTCTTTCAATTCACATGCCTTGCTGTAAAGAACGGGATAAGGTCTCTCTTTTAAAGACACCATTGTGTTCATTTCTGTATTTTAGTGTCATGTGCTACTTTGTCATGCTTTTTAATGGCTCTTTCACCTCACTCTCTCTTTGACTTTTGACCTGAAGCCTTAGTCATCACTTAACTGCCTCTGTAGTGATGTTTTGCTATATGATCAAGCCCATTAATTTACAGCCCATTATACTTGTGGCTCAAGTGCTTCTAGTAAGTTGGTTTTCAGTGGTAGTAAAGCCCTAATTCTGTCATCATGTTATTAGTGTTGGAATGGCGTGTACTGATGAATTTGGCTAATGTTGAATAAATTCCACAGCAGGAGGTTACAGCTTAAAATAGAAAAGACCTTTAGTGAGTTCTTTGTATGTCTGTGGATACAGAAATTAAAAAAAGAAAATTTGCTATTTTTAGCTTATTTCAGACGCCTTCAGAACTAATCACGAGCATGAGACAGTAGTTCATTAATCAACTGTGCATAACAATATTACAAGCGTGGATAGGTTACCATGCAAATGGTTTAAAAAGGCTACCTGTAGGATTTATACAAGCACCCATCACCATCGTACTCGAGTTAAAAGGAAAAGCTGGGAATAGCAAAAGAAATGAAAAATACTGTCTGCCATCACTACAATGTGATAGCTCAGAAGACATGAGAATACAGGATCTAAAGTTTTCTATCGTATGTTAAACAAATGCATTTTCGATAAATATATCCAATGGGGGCCATCCTCTTTGGCGCGCACGCCATAAATTAGCTACGCATCCTCCCCAAGTGCTACTCCAATCCCTTTCCCCCGCCTCATCTGCTGCTCTGCTTTCTGCTTCCTTCCCTGTGCTCCCTGTCCCAGCTGTTGCTCTGCTTTGTGTCCTATCTTCCACTGTGTTGCCTGCCCCTGCCCAATCTTCTGTGTGCCACTTGTACCCAGGAAGTGTGCCACGTCTGCCCAGGTACCTCTCCACAATTTAACTGCTCCACTTACCCCCTTCTCCCCCCCCACCCAGCCTGTCTCTTGCCCACTGACTCCTCGATTTCCATCTTTACTGACTGTCTGTCCCGCATGCAGCCAGCCCAGCCTCTGGCTTCTTTACTATTCATTCCTTCCAGGAAGAGCACACGCCAACTGCAGAGACTTCCTCAGCCTGATGAAGGGTTTTTAAACCAGAAAGCTTGCTAAAAAATGTTTTTTTCCAGCTATTTAATTTAGTCTAATATAAGACATCAGATTCACTCAAAGAACCTTGTCTGGCTATGTCCTCAGACCAACACGGCTGCAACCTACACCCGTGTGCCACTTGTGGCACTCTTGCTGCAGAATGGCCATCCCTGTTCTAGTACATAAAACTAATAACTGTACCTCTAAATACAATACAGCAGCTATAATACTTACAAAAGCTCAGCTGTCGACTTTCGCAGAATTCTGCGTACTGGGCTGAGTCCATCATCCGTGTTTGCCTTTCTGCTCTCTAAAAGACAAAGCAGAATGAAATAATGCACTTCCCCTAATGAGAACTATGAACCAGAAGATGAATAGTATCCACAAAACTTGCACTACTGTAGCTATAAACTCAAAAGTCACCAGTGGATTTAAACAGGTTAAGATGCACAAATATAAAGCACAGCTGGGTTATTATTCTTAGGAGTAAAATCTGTCAGAGGAGAGTTTTATTTTGTATTCCAGAAATTTGCTTATGTAGCACGACAATAAGGGCTCAAGCCTGAAGGGCGCTAAGCTTTCTGGTCTTGATCTAGTAAAGCATGGAAATACACACCAAAATGCAGGCGTACTGTGAGTCTTACTACTAAGCACATGCACATGAGTTTTCCTGGATTGAAGCCAGAGTGCTCAGTACCCTTCAGAATTGAGCCCTACCTGCATCTTTTTTAAAGGGGCATTACTCATTATTGTAGCAAATGGACATTTGACATCACACTGAGGATGCCCCAGGTCAGCAAGAGAGCAACCACAGTGCAGGCTGATCCACAGAGTCAGTACACGAAGCAGCCTTTAGCTGGTTAGTCCTGACATTTTAATTGTTGATCTATGCCTTCTCTTTTATCCTTCAGGACCCGGAGGCAGCAGGGGAAGGAAGAGAGAGGAAATTAAACAGGCTAATTAAATTCATTTGAGAAAAATGTAAACAGCTCTCAAAACATTTTCTACTGGATTCTCTGAAGAATATATTTCATACAGATCCAGTCTGATGTAAAACAAAGGCTTGCATAACCCTGCACCTCTCAGCAATCAAAGTATTAACATGCCATACATTTATATATTTGCCCTCCAAATATATGCTACACTATTTAAGTCATGATTCAAAGCAGCACTTAAGTACACGCTTAATTTTAATCACATGCTTCAGGCCCATCAGCTTCAGTGATGCAGAGCTGATTTACACCAGATCATCTGCCACATTTTGGAGGCCAGAAGAGGTAGTTAGACTAAACAGAGAGATTATCCTTTTAAGAAGCAGATAGTAGTTCATTCAAATCTTCCAAACAAGAAAAGTGTTCTATCTCAAGCTCTGAGCAAGGTTTGTAATCTTCTCCCAAACACTAACTTAATGAATCAGGGAAACCCATCGCACCAAAAGCAGGATTTCAGTACCAACTCGACGATCCTGAACAGAAGTGGCTGCTGGCACTGACATCCAGACATTTGCACTTGCTACGTACAGCCAGAGCTCACGCATCAGAATTACAAATCAACAATACAGCAAAGAAAAGGTAAATCCGGGTGTTTTTATAGCCAAAAGAACTTCTTCAGCCTGAGTACAAGGTTAATTCACCATTTGGTGAAATTTAAATTGTGGGTTTGTTTCATCTGGTTTGGCGAGAAATAAAGTGCTTATTGGTGAGAAAAGGACACAAAGACAGATTCTGCCATAGTACTTGGCCTTAAAAAACAGGGCTTGAATCAGAAAAGAAACCCATTCTTTGAACTACATACATGATATTGAATTCTACTCCCATTCCCTTCTGGGATTCCTTCCTTAACTATCGATGCGGAGAAGTGATATATCATTATCTCACCTACTCACTGTAAGGCCATCCCAGTATTAAATCTGCTCGCTCTTAGGCTGCATACAGACATTCAAAGTGTAGGTTGTAGCTGTGTTGGTCTAAGGACATAGGAGGCCTGACAAATGGTTTTTAAACCTGAAAACTTGATTTTAAAAAAATGTTTTTCCAACTACTTAAGTTGGTCTTATAAAAGATATCAGATTCACCCGAAGTACCTTGTCTACAGACATTCAAGTAACCTAGGAGAATTCTTCCAGGTTTGTTTTCCTGGTAGTAACATTTAGCTGGAGGTACCTGCACAGGCATTTGAATACTGAGCCCCTGAAAAGCAGAGAGCTTGCTGTGCTCATGCTACACAACCAGCGGGCCCCCAAGTGCACGTCTGTGTGCTTTGCACGTTTTCTCATTCTGTCTCTGGAGACCGTGCACAGGGCAGCCTTGCTCGGGGTCAACCTGCGTCTCCCTGCAACACAACGTGGGGATTGTGAAGGGGTATGTCATGCTTTGTGCTCAGCCAATGTCCAGTGAATGACGCACTGCCTTCTGGGGCAGGGGTGGGGGTGAGGAGGGTGGCAAAGGGGGCAGGAGCAAAGCACCCTGGGATTCTGAAGGACTGTGCTGTGGCATCTCTCAGAAGAGAATGTCTCCCAGGAGAAACTCTCCTGAAGCGATTTTAACCCTGGCTGTTCCCAGGTTATTTTTCTTTCGGAGTGGCCATTTTCACTCTGAGAGAAAAATCCCGAATATCTGTCCACACTCTGCTCTGAGAGCAACGACTCTCCCAGGAGGAACTGAATACAATCATTCAATGCTCGAATCACCCAGCTGTCTAGAAACCCATGGAGATGTTTTTTCTCTCTTTGTAGTCTACACAGGGCCGTCCAACCAGCAGCCCTCAGGCTCCTGCCACATTTACCTCCTCAGCTCCCCATGCTTTGCTCCAGAGGTCCAGGTGTCACTCCTTCCCAGCCAGTGCCATCTCCCTCCATCACATGCTCCCACCGCTGCTGTTGCTATTTCTCTCGCCCTTTGCCCCCCTAGCCCCAAGATCTCTGGGTTCCCTCTCCATCCTCCACTTTCCATTTCCTCCCTCATGAGTGCCCTACATCTACTCAGAAGTTGGACAGCCCTATTCTGGCTAGTCAACTGCTCTAGCTTGAAGTCCCAAGTTTAATTTCTAAACCTCTTTTGTGTGACTGAACTGCAGGGATAGACATTATACTGAAGCATTTCTTTTCTCAATTCCGTTTCTACACATTCCTCTACTTCCTCAGGTCTGCCTTCCTTGTTTCATTCTGATAAGAAATTTCTTCAGGTGCAATTACCTTTTCTGTCAGACAGGGCATAGAAGTTCAGACTGAATGCGACTGGCTTCAAACTTCTTCCCTTCATTCTGCTTACAACTTGTTTTTTTGCCAACGTAGAAAGCTAGACAAAAATAAACCCTTGTTCTGTGTTGACATGTCCAGAATGTGATCAGGCAGCCTTTAAACCAGCTGTTCCCAAACTGTGGGTTGCGACCCCAAATGGGGCGGTGACATCACTGGATGGGGTCGTGGCATTGTGCTCTATCCTGCACCGGGTCCTGCCCGCTGGGCTGCAGAGGCCCAAGGGAAGGGCAGCAGGGTGGGGAGCCCCAAGTCCGCATCCCTGGCCCCCATGGGCTCCACACTGACCCATGGGGGAGGGAACAGGGGCAGGGAACTGGGCTGCTTTCTGTAGGCAGCAGCCAAGGCTCAGGTGCTGCTGGGGTTGGGAGGGCAGGGGGCTACAGACTCTGGCCCTGGGGCAACTGGGGAGCTGCAAATTAGAAGTGAGGAGCACTGGCAGAGCCAGGAGGCTATGGGTCAGAAGTGAGGGGTCCCTAGGAGGGTTGGGAGGCTGCGAGTTGGGAATGGTCATGCTGAGGAAATGGGGTCATAAATGGGGTCAAGCTGAAGAAAAGTTTGGGAAGCACTTCTTTAAACCTTCTGGAGGAGACTGGATAGGCACCTAGCTGGGGTCTTATGACCCCTCCCACCCCCAGTGCTCCTTCCTGTCCATGGCTTGGGGTCAGACTAGATGATCTGTCTAGGTCCCTTCCGACTCACTGATTCTATGTTTCTATGATTCTGTTTAATAGCCAACTAGACAGGACATAAACACCATAAAGTGGACTTAAGCTTCTTGAAATATCAGAAACACTCCCAAGAACTGTGTGCGCTGTCAGGTGGAAGGTTTCCTGAACTGCCTGATGCATCTATTTAGAAGCACAAGTTTCAATTAGATAGGAATTATGGCTCTCAGAAACCCTGACATCAAATAAATTAGATGGCAATGACTAACATGAACTGAATAACAACCAAACAACTGATAATCCTTTGAATAATATTTCCTTGAAATGATCAAGGTTGAAAGTGGAATCACCCAAAGAGAGTCCTGCTGCTATGTTGCAGGTCCCATGAGATCTTGTCAAAGGGTATATAGGTTTCCCAATGCAACAAAAATTTATACAAAACCAAAAATAAAAAGAATGACCGTTTTCAATACTACCTTCACACCTCTTCCTAATTTCAGAGAAAAAACAGCATGGAATTTCCTTACGCTGGGCTTTCCAGCTCTCACATACTAAAATTATTATGATTATTTTTCCTTCGGTGAGTACTTGGTTCATGGAAAAAGATAGTACCCACCATTTCTAAGATGTTGAAATTATTCCCTTCCCTTTTCTTCTCTGCCCTATAAGAAAGTTGTGTAAAAAAATGAACATGTGCTATTATTTGTTGCCTACTTAAGACCTGGCAAAACAGAAATTCCTATGTGGCATATAATATACTGCATTCTTTCCTACAAAATCTAATGTAAAACCACATCGCTTGAAGTGGTAAGCAAACTAAGCCTGCACCTTTTGTAATAGCTCTAATTTCATATTTCTGCAAATTTGAATCATTTCATCCTACAGCTTCAACCTCTGTTTTTCTGACTACAATTCTTTCTGGAAATCCATCACACTATGCAGTGGAACAGGAATTTTTAACTAAGAAACAGTCTAATGACATCAGGAGAAATCTCTCTCACTCCTTTATGGAGAGAAGCAGCAAGTTCCTACTACGAAAGTCCTCACCAGTTTAGGAACACATGTACTGGGGCACTTACGCATGCCTGGAAATGACAAATCCCCAGGGACATCCTAGCTACAATCTTCAATTTATGGATTCTGTGTTGGTCCCTGAACCCAGGTACCATGAATGTCATGAGTGACAATGTCCTAGTGGTTCATCTAAAGTAGAAAAAAAATAATATAGTTCCCATCCTCTTTATCATAGGACTAGCCATTCTCAGCAGCAAAGGCACTGAATTATGTGGCATACAGCATGGTCAAAATATTCTGCATGCTTTCCTTGGAACACGCTGAAGGATGCAGCAGATAGGAGCTGGCACTGTAAGTGTATGCTTAGCCTTC